TCTGGAAGAGATATTTCAGTGGTGACCAGTACCCACCTCATTTAATGACTGCAGCACCAATGCAGCTGAATGGTGGGGCTCTCCATCCTGCTTTTCATGGCCATATGTAGCTGTGGGGTGCTGAAATGTGGTGTCTTCTTTGAGTTTCAGTTTCTGGAGCCGAGTCAGGCCAGTTCTCATGGGACAAGGTGTCCCCTTGCTGCAGGACTTTGACCTCTCTTCCCAATCAGGTACCTTTGTAGGATGCAGTCAGTCTGGGCACCCAGTGTTTATTAGTCACTGGGAAAATCTTTACATTGGTAGCTTCGTGTGGCTTCCCCTCTCCTTCCCTCAGTGCATACCGGCTATGTTCATCACCATCACAACTCTGTGCCCTTTCGTGCAGGTTTCTATGAGGACGAATGTATGTACACCACTAACAGCAGCAGTGGGACCTTCTAGGAATGGGACACAATGATCTGTACTCAAACATGTGCCACTTTTATGAACTTACTGTAATTCTTCAACATTAATTAATTCACGTACTTTAATTAATTTGTCCTTGGGCTGACTTACTAAGAGGTCTTTGCAAATTGAACAAGGTTGTAGAGGGAGGATTTTTGAATTAGCGGTACAAAAAAGGCAACTGAAGACAGGTGCCTTTCAAAACATCTGAAAAAGACACAGGTTTACCAATTAATTCTGCAGTAGATCGGGATGAGGCAGCATTAAGCTGGCTGCCCAGCCTCTCATTGCTGCTGCCCACCTCTGCACGTATACAAATTGGCACCCCATGGGAACGGCTCCAGCGGGAACATGCCCGTTGCTTCAGCTTTCTGACATCTGGTAAGGTGCCCCTTTGGAACTGACGATGGGCTGGGGTCACCAACACGGTGAGTTACTTCTCATTGTGGTGTGCAGGGAAGGGAGATTGGGATTAAGATCAAACCGAGAATCTCAGGTCACCATTGTCTCCTCTCTGCCTGCCTCATAGGTTCCTCAACCACTGCAGTTCCCAGGGCCGACCATTAGTTAACTTTTACTTAACCTTTGGCAGCTCAATAACTAATGTCATCCCCATTCCCCTCCCTCCTCAAACAAATACATTAAAAGAAAGAAAAACAGGAACCTAGTCTCAAGGGACAGGATTTGTGATGCATTGGGGAGGTCTTTTGCAATCCCATCCGTAAAGGAAATGAAGTCTTACACTGAATCCCTGTCACATTAATGAATTTAGCCCTTGCCAGGAGACCCAAGTGTGGCTCTTTACTCCCTGTGCTCTGCTCACAGTTAATTCAGTTTCTTCTGACTAATTCCTTTGGGGTTTGTGTCTGTTCCCAGGTTATATGTTTCGACAGGCCTATGTGTAACCTCGCTGAAAAGGGTCAGGGACAACTGAAATAGCTCATCCAATTAAAAATTTGAAAATAAGTCTCACTCAAATCACTGAGAAATGTCAGATTGCAGGAGGTGTTTTTCTGGGCTTATTTATAGAGAAAAATAGCCACCAATAGTTATTAGACAATTAATATAATAAGGCTCTGTGTAGACACATTTAATCCTAATCTGTCTTCAGTTAAACCACTGTGGAAGTGGATTAAATCCATCCACAAGAAAACAGTCCTCAATATGGAAAAATGTAGTGCAGAATAACTATCACTGCTAGAATTCAGATCCTAGCTTTTTTCCCAGTTCTTTGCCTGTGTAAGCAGAACTTTCTTTTCTTTTACTTGTACATATTCTAATGATATTGATATCGAGTAGTCCTGACTAAGACTGGATTTCTGCTGTGCTAGGCTTGGCAATCCCTTCAGTAGGGGTGGACATCCTGGAATAGGGACAGTCTCCATGGGGTGACTCAGGAGTGAAATGGTTTCCTCCTGGTGACAGAGTGGTTCAGCAAACAGAGGAGGACCAAGTCCCTGGTCACCAACGTGCTGTAATCTCTCACTGTCTGCTAGGACCATGGAATCATAGAATCATGGGATGGCTTGGGCTGGGAGGGACCCTTAAAGATCATCTAGTCCAGTACCCCCAGCTTCAGCAGGAACATCTTTCCCTAGATCGGGTTGCTCAAAGCCCTGTCCTACCTGACTGAGCTCTTTCACCGATGGGGCATCCACAGCTTCTCTGGGTGACCTGTTCCAGGGTCTCACCACCCTCACTGTAAAAACTGTCTGCCTTATATCCAGTCCAAATACGGAGAGATCTGGTCTGCCTGTTAATGCATTTCAGAGTGAAAAAGCAAATAGCAATCGCCTATGAACACATCCAGTTTTCATCAGAAAGCTGAGGGGGAGCTGGGTGCTGTGAATCCATCAGCAACTGCAGCCTTTAAAAGATGTCTGCATTGGAAATACAGCTCCAGTGAGGTCAGTCCTGAGCTCACGAGTCCCAGCTAACCCCAGGATCACCCAGTCCCTGTGCTGCTGCAGAGTTCAGCAGGCTTGCTTCTTCAGAGGGGCTGCTGGTATCATTCCAGGGTGTAGCACTTCCTATCACAAACAGAGAAAGAAGAAAAGATTTATCAAAGAGCTTTGCTAGGCTTCCCCCTTGGTCCTAAAAGAGGCCGAAAGAGGTGACAGCCAGGTGTCACCTCGGCCACCTGTCCCCACGGCACGAATGCATTTTGCTTCCCCCGTGCTGAGGGGCTGCAGCACCAGGCTGCGGACCCCAATGCCTCTGGGCTCAGCTAATCTGAGTGACATCCAGCTCAGTGGTTCTGGGGTGAGGCTCTGGCACAGAAAAACGCAGCAATTTCCTGGCTTTCAGCAGGGCCCAATTCAGGAGTGTGAAGTACAGACCGTGTCAAATTAGCAAAGCCTTGGCTTTTCTTTTGCAGAAGGCAGCAGCAGCAGTCACGGGCAATTATATTCTGTGCAGGGAGATAGCCTCTGGATAGAGACGTTTTGAACAGAGAGGAGAAAAGGGAGAAATAAAAAAACAAGAGTAAGCTGGGGGAAAAGAAAGGGAGATGAGCATGGTTTTCAGTGAAATGCAGGTGTTTTGAGAGGAAATTAAAAAACACTGCTGTAGGTTTTGTTATCACTCTGGTCTTTACAGACAGCTGGCAGGGTAGAAGTTGGTGGAGTTACCTCGATGCTCTCCTGACCATGTATTCACTGCTCTGTGGGACATGGGAGCATGGCCAGGCTGCAGGCAGCCGCCAGCCCTGCAGCATCCCCAGCCACCTCCAGCTGGGCACAAGCTGTCTGGGGAGAGGAGGTTGCTCAAAGTATGAAACACGGCCACGGCCTAAGAGCAGGGAAAAAATGCATAGAGGAAGTTTTCCCCACCCCAGATGTTTCCAAGGCCCCAGGCATGTTGGCCTGGCACGGAAGAACATAGTAGGATGAGAGAGCAGCAGGGGAACTGAGCATCTTCCCCAGGACACAGCTTGGGGACACAGCCTTGTCACTTGCCAGAGGTGCCACGCTGCCCGCCAGGGAGAGAAAGGCACAAACAAGGCAACGCAACCCACCTTCCAACCCTTCATTTAGAAAATGTGGCTTCAACACAATCTAATTACTTACTTTTTCGAATCAAGGGCAACTTCTCTTGCGTTTCTTCGTTGTCCCCTGTGGCTTGCCCGAGAGAGCTGCTCCATGAGGGTAGGCACTAATGAAGAGGAGCTGCCAAATGAGTGTATGTGTTGCTGCATCTAGGTCAGAGAGTCAGATGAAAGTATCTTCCATGTTTCCCTGCTTTTTTTTTTTTTTTTTTTTAACTGGGCTTCTAATAAACATGTTAACTTTCAAAATTATTATAAGCAGCTGAATCTATCAGCAGCGCACAAGAATATTACTTAGGGCATTTGAAAGCTCTCTAATGAAGCTTTGAAGTCCAGCTCATCCCAGATTCATGCGGGGAAGGAGATGTAGCCACAGTCCTCTGCCTGCTTCTGAAGATGTGAGACTTGAAAGCAACTATTTCTTTGCAAATGTGGACAGGTGTGAGAAGCCTCTCTTAAAGAAAATCGATACTGAAATATGGGTACTCAAACGGATACTTCAAAATCCACATCTCACTGTCACAGTGTTTTGTTTGTGTATCGCAGTGGCTTTCTTTTACTTTTGTACCAACACTGTCCCTACACAGCCCATATTTGCATCTTATCATGTGCTCCTTTTCAATTTAGTACCATCAGCCAGAGAGACAGAGAGTTTCCCTATCCTGCCTCAGTCCCACATTTAAGAAAATGGAACAAAACTTTTTGTAAAAAAGGACCAAAGATTATTTGGGAGTAACATGCATAAAACCAACAGAAAGGTTTTAATTCTGCGGATCCTTCCACAGCTCGAGGCTCGGATTCCTTTTTTCCTTTTGCTACAGAGAGATTCTGAAGGGTGAAATAGAAGCAGCACCAAGTGCCTTCCTCCACATATTAGACATAAAAGCTGTTGTGCTGCCGTGTGAAGGCACACGACACGGCACATGGGGAACGTAATTGCACCCTCCAGCCACCGCTACAACAATAAGCAAAGCTAAAAAGTAGTCCACACATTTGGATTTTCTGCCTCTGGAAGGCTGCGTGCATTGAGTTAAACTTACGGCCATGCAGTCTCTGCTGAATTGCTGTTTCATTTTGATCTGTACTAAAGACAGCAAAGGAGCAGCTATGAGTGTGAGTAATGGGTAGGTGCATATCAGTGAGTATCACTGTATTTGGGTTCTTGCTCGCTTGCTTTCTTCTCTTTGTTCAGTTTCTTTCTTTCTGGCATTGTCGGGGTAATTTTAGTTCTTCAGGGCCATGTCTTCTGCATCAAAAAACCACTTTAAATCTATACCTTTAAGAACGTGTGTATATGTGTATGTACACCGCTTATGCAGTGGCATATATCAGAGGTCACAATGCTTTGATCAGCTTCATTTGAATTCATTGTAAGAAATTGAGACAGAGAGGAAGGAGAAATGCCTGATTACCCTTAGGGACCTTTCTGTTTCCCCAACTTCCAGTAACATTTGCCATACTGTTGCATTTGATGTCCTGTGATTGACTGTTTTGGATTTATCCCCCTTAGATCATCTTCCGGAAAATCAGCGATGTCAAGAAGGAGGAAGAGGAGCGCCTGCGCCAGAAGAACGAGGTGACGCTGAGCATCCCTGTGGACCACCCCGTGCGGAAACTCTTCCAGAAATTCAAACAGCAAAAGGAGATGCGTAATCAAGGCTCAACCCACATCGATCCAGAAAGGAACCAGCTTCAAGTGGAAAGCCGGAGCGTGCAGAACGGGGCCTCCATCACAGGCACCAGTGTGGTCACTGTGTCTCAGATCACCCCCATCCAGACAGTCCCTGGCTTATGTGAAAACCAGCGAGGCTGTGAAGCAGAACAACAGGGATGCGATGGAGCTCAAGCCCAATGGAAATGGAGACCAGAAATGTCTCAAAGTGAACAGCCCCATGCGGATGAAAAACGGGAACGGGAAAGGGTGGCTTCGACTGAAGAACACGATGGGGACCCATGAGGAGAAGAAGGAAGACTGGAACAACGTCACAAAGGCTGAGTCGATGGGGCTGCTCTCGGAGGACCCCAAGTGCAACGACTCGGAGAACGGTGTAAATAAAAACCCACTGAGGAAAACAGACTCTTGTGACAGTGGAATAACAAAAAGTGACCTTCGCTTGGATAAAGCCGGTGAGACTCGCAGCCCCCTGGAGCACAGCCCCATTCAGGCTGATGCTAGGCATCCTTTCTACCCTATTCCTGAGCAGGCCTTACAAACCACGCTGCAGGAAGTCAAGCACGAACTCAAAGAAGATATCCAGCTGCTAAGCAGCAGGATGGCTGCCCTTGAGAAGCAGGTGGCAGAAATTTTAAAAATATTGTCTGAAAAGAACGTACCCCAGGTCTCTTCCCCCACGTCTCATTTATCACCCCAGCGGCCCCCCCAGATACCCTGCCAGGATATTTTTAGCGTTTCAAGGCCTGCATCACCTGAATCAGAAAAAGATGAAATCCACTTTTAGCATATACCTATGTGTATATATGTATACAGTATATATGCAGAGGTGTATATATACCTTTATACATATATATGTGTGTGTATAAGGTAAATATATATACATATATATTTTCACTTGCATCCAATATGACTTGAACACACCAAGGATTTTGATATGTAAATATTTGCATGTCCAGCTGGATTCTGGCCTGCCAAAGAAAACAATTATTAACATAGATATTGCTTGTATAATATGCAGTTGACTGCATGCACACTTTACATTTATTTATAATCTCTATTATGTAATAAAAGAATGACTTTTGTTTAACAAAGGCAATGTACTATTTAAAGAATCAGGGTCTAACCTGCCAATATTGCCATGACAGTTTTGATCTCAGGCTGGGTGAATTGAGCTTTTACTTCCTCACTGTCTTTTCTGCCGAGTTAGACAGTAGGTTAACACGACGTGGCCAACACGTTCAGACTCCAAGTAGTACTGTTTCCTTGTATCATTCCATTACAATATACTGTATATTTGGTGATAAATTCCCCCACTCCTCTTGAAGGGAGGGCTCAGCTCAGTCGCCAGGGAAGGGCACCGTGTCGGGTGCTGGGGTAGATCACTGGAATTGATTCGTGTGGGTGTTGTGCATGCACAGCCTTTTATTTCGAGTATCCTCCTGCTCTTTTAACATCATAAGTAACACATAGTAGCAGTGATTTATGTAAGGAAATGAAACAAACAGAACATCTCTCAGCTGCATGTGCTGTGTATTTGGGGGTAATGCCTTTCTTGAAAGCCTCCTTTTTACGGATGACATTTTTACTGAACTGTTAGCGTGACATTATGCAGAATCTCTTTGCAGCACTTAGCGACAGTGTCCGCTTCTGTCAGTATCTTCATTAGGATGTCCCGTTTTTTGCAGAGCTGAGGTTGCTCTCTGGCTGTCCCCCCCCGTTGCCCCTGGCAGAAAAACTTTGCACAAGATCTGAGCAAGGGAGAGAGCAATTGTGCTTCAGTTCCTCAGGAGCCATGTGAGCAGATTTGGAAGCCTGAAGTTAAAAGGCTGCAGTTAATCCCCCTCCACTCTTTTCTGAGGCTGTTTATCAGTCTGAAACTACCTTTGAGAAAGAGAAAATTACCAGTCAGGATGTGAAGTTGGTGATGGTGAATTTCCCTTTAGCCTGAGGCATTCGACGGTGATGTTTGGGTGGGAGAGTGTTTTGTGGAGATGAAGTCCTTCCTCGGGTGCTGCCTGCTGCTCTTGCCATAGCATTTGAAGGTTTTAGTGGCTGGGGTGTTGTGATCCAAGTGCCAGCTTGCAGTGCCCACACAGCCAGTTGTTGGGCACATGAGGTCTGTGTCGGGTGCTCTGGTCCTCTTCTTGGCTGGCTCCCATCAGCATCTCCCCCTCCTGAACCATGCTCCTATTTCCACCAGCTAGGCTGGTGCATCACCCCTCACGATGGCTGTGCAAGGCTGCAGCAAGACGGGCTTTTGCATAGGCCCCTGATTCTTCTGCTCTTGGAAGCTGAGATTTTGGACTCTGCCTGGGCCTGCACTTGAGTGTGGTGGGTTATTTACTTCTCCATTTGCAGTGAGTGAGAATCCAGGCACACATTTCTCATGGCAGAAATGGCCATTGTGGCTTCAGAGTCAATGCTGGTACAGCTGGAGGCTGGCACAGCAGAGTTCAATGGCTCCTACAGAGAAGGATATCCCCACCACACTTCAGTGGCCTCTGGCATCAAGGTCCCATGTCTTCAAAAGTGCCTCGAGTAAAACATATTTGTACAACAAGGCATTGCTATCAATCAGGTAAACAGAACAGATGTTTATAATTAGTGGGCATCTTTACCAGACATCAATGCCAGACATTTCACTTCATATTAGTAAACTAAGCTACACTAAAAAAATTCCTGAGAAACCAAAAAGTAAAAAATAAAAATCAAACAACAACAAAAACAGCAACATTTGTAGTAGTGGCAATTAGTAACCTGCATCTTAGGGCGATTGTATCGCCTACTGTGAAATCCAATCCCGTAAACTCCCAAAAGATCACAAGAAAGCCAAAGAAGTCATTGCTTCTGTTCTGTCACTTCGTGGAGGGAAAACAGTGATCTTTCCAATTTGCTGTTCCTTTTGGGCCCATTTCTGCCTTTCTTCCAGTCCCTTTCTCCAGGAAATTATAGGCGAAAAAATAAGAATAAAAGTCACCGAAAGGGACAACTCTTCCCAAAGATGGGCGGTGAGGCTGCCTGCTCATTATAGCTTTCTGCAGCTGCAGTTGCCACTGTCAAATTAGGCAGCTGTGCTTTGCAGCTGTTCTTCTGACAGGAATACAAATCTGCAAGCACGCAGCCCTGCTGTGGTCTGCAGGGACAAACTGCAGAACTGCAAAACCTTCAGGGTCCTGCTCTAAACCCTACCCTGGGACTCTGAAAGAGTCGGAGGTTGTAGGGTTAAGGAGTCGCAGAGTTGCTGCAGGCTGCTGGAGTATGCACGGACCTTGTGGGTATAAATTAAGTGCCAAGTTTTGAAGATTTGACTGTTCTTGCCTGTCTCGGGTCGCTGGCTCAGACACTAGCAGCTCAACCCTCTGCCCAGTCAATTGCTGAGCCCTGCAGGCTGTCTGGGCTGGGGTTGGTGAAGTTCCTTGGTGCAGGACTGTGCCATGAGGTGGTGCTGCAAAAGAGCCAGGGGGGTGGTGGGGTGACTGTTAGACAGTTTTAGCCTTAATGGCATTCCTCTGCCTTTGTGAAGGACTTTCTTTCATTTCTTTCTCTGTGACTGATGTTAATTCTAGATAGAACTGCATGGCATGCAAAGGGATCTCTGTTTAGCTTCACCTTGCTGGTCAGGTGTAACTTTGTGCCACCTTACAATGTGAGAACATGTAACAGGATTCATCTGAGCTGGAAAATTATTCAAGTCCAGAACATTTATTGCGGTTCAAGTGCAACTGTACTGGTTAAAATGCGTACTGGCTAAAAGCTCTAAATAATGTAAAATAGCAAGTTCATGAAACAAACAGCATTTCCAGGCTTGCTGGTCCTGGTGCTGCTTTGATGCTGGTGTTGTCCCTCGCAAGGTCAGTGGGACCAGCTGGGGCCTGGCACCGGGCAGCAGTGGGATCACTGGGATGGTGTCTTGCAAACAAACACGATAAACTTGCACTGCAGATGGGCTCCCCTTGCCTCTGTGTGCTGGGGGTGCAGCTGGAGGCCCAATTTGCACGATCAACTCTGGTGGCTACTGCTCTGAAAATTTGGCTTGTACAATTCTGAAGCGCTTTGCCTCCAAAATTTCATTACACGTTGTTTCATGGAGTTGTTGCCGGGGCACTCACAGCTTTCCCCTGTCCTCGTGGCTGTGCATGATGCGATCAAGCGTGCTGCCGGCTGGGGCAATCCTTCTCTGTCAAAGAAGCAGGAGTCCTCGTGGATGCAGTTCAGGCTTGACTGAAAGCAACCACCCACAGCTGTAAGTGCAGTAGGGGAACAAATGCATCTCTTCGAGCTGAGCCAGCGCTGAAGCAGTTATGTGCCGCGTGGACGGAGCTCTCGGCTGCATGCTTCCCTTTCCCTTAGGAGCTGCGTGCCACGACAGATGTTCCTGCCACCTCTGGTAACGTGGTCGTACCACTTACCTTGTGCGCTGTGTGTTCAAAGCATTTTACCCACACACAAGTGGATTTTATCTTTCTGGACAAGATACAGATAGAAATAAAATGTGTACAGAAAATTAAACACTTTCCGGAGCAAGCGAACTAGAGTACCTTGAATAGCATTTTTGTGTAATATTACCTATGTGAGATAGAACAGCACTTCAGGATAATAGCTGAAAAAAATAACTATTTTAGTGAAGATATAGAAGGGAAATATCCCTCAGTTCTTCTGATTTTGCATTTGTAAGTCCTGTTTTCCATCTTTCTGTCTTTGCCATGGGACAGGGGTTAGAGCAGAGCTGACTTTGGAAGTGACAAACTTAAGCTTTGCCAACTTTTCTTTCCCCTGTTCTGCAGAAGTAGCACAACTGTAGGGACGTGGTGCTGCTGGCACTGAAGTTTGGGCTCATTGCTAGCTCCAAACTCAGTCTTCATCTTACCACCGTGCAGAAAGAAACCCTGTTACACAGGTGTGAACTGAAGCTTGGATCTGATGAACATATTGGACCTTAAGGTGTATTTTGGATTCCAGGACAATTTTAGAGAACTGGCAGCTGCAGAAATAATGTTGCACTATTTGCAAGCCACGGGCAGTCACTCTGGAAGTAACCGAGACTGCTAAGCAGACATCATCATTTGCACGTGTCAGAAAACAGATATTGTGATTACGAAATAGCTTGGAGGCTTTTGGGGGAAAAGACATCCTGAACTGAAGGGAAAAAAAAAAAGCCAAAGTTTTCATATGCAATTTGTGAGTGAGGAGGAGGACATGGGATATATCACGGTGACTTGATGCTTTTTTACTTGGATTTTGAGCATTTAGAAAACCCAAACCTATCTTTTTGGATGTCAGAACTGGACAGATGATTGTTTGTTAAAATAAATATTTTTTTGTAAGTGAGATGGCATCAAAGTGATACCTGTTTAAAACAAAAATGCATTCAAATGCCATTTTGCTAGAGAAGAGAGTTTTAACAGATGTTATCATAGTTTTTAACAGGCTGTATCTAAAGGCTTTATTCAACTTTTTTTTTTTTTTTTTTTTTTTTTTTGTAACAAGAGCGTCTCTGTGTACACATATCTTCAGGTCTGTAGGATCTGTAGTGCTTTATAGTCTTGCTGCTGACATACTTCTTAGAGAAGTGGGGTTCCTTTGGAGAAAACCATCTCTTCGTGGTAGCCTGCGCTCCATGACTCTCCAATCCTGAGCTGCAACCAGAGCTGCGGGTATCAAACAGTGGTAGTTTACATTTTTCTTGGCACTTCTGTATCTACACTAACTTTCTTCAGGAACTTTAAGGACGAAAATAGAAAAGTTGACACTGTCAGTTTTCCCAGATGGCCCCAGTCCTTCACCTGTGTCTGTGCTGCCAGAGCAGCACATTCCTGTGGAGCCCACGGGGAAGAAAGGTTTGATCAGGCTGGATTTCCACATCTGAGAACAGTCTTTCTAATTTCCCCCTCCATTTTTTCAAGCAGCTAACAGTACCTCTAAATGTTTTCATTGTTTTTAATATGCTATAGTGTATTTCAAAGTGAAGTTAATTCTTAAAGCAGATTGCTGGATGGAGACAAGAAGTCCACATTACTTTTGGCAGAAAAGCAAGGCATTTTTTTACTGACATCAAGAATATTGTACAAAGATCAGCTTTGTGATACTTAACAAATGACAAACAAAATAAAATCATCCTTCCTGAGGGTGCATTTAGTCGTACAGAAAATTGACCTTGTGTTTCACTGTGGGACAAGAAGGCAGATATTGATTTTGAACACTCAAATGATGCAGCCATTCAAAAAGGGCTTGCCCAGGCCATAATAAATATATTAAATTAATTTATTATGTTATGTTAATCAGCCTTTTGTTGCAAGGCAGGTGGAGCCAGGCATATGGGGCAATATTCTCACAAACTTTTCTATCCATCGCCTGTAAAGATAAGTGTGTTTCATGATTTTCTGCTTGGAGATGTAAGCTTGCTTGGCCCACAGTCTGAGACTGTTGGTGTACACCAACTCTGTATCTGGCTGTCCTCCATGAATATGTCAATTAGCCATAATTAAAAGCCCTATAAAAAGGACTTTGTATTAGGTTGGGCTCAGCCACCCCAGTGACATGACAGTATGTTATCAGGCCCAGACCAGATTCAATTCAGACCAAGTAGTGGCAGACTACATATTTCTGCCTGCCTGCGAAGGATGTGTACACACATCTTGTGTGTATATACCTGCTCGTTTGGAATGGGGACTCAAAGCTGGCTCGTTTAAGACAGGTGTTTCAGGCAGATGGGATAAATCGTGCTCTGGACGTGTCAGTCTCTCATCATTTATTGTAGACTAACGACTTTAGATTAGACACTTGATTTGTAGACTGCTGGAGGGTAAGTGAAGTGAATCCAACCCATAACTCAAGCCTGATCCTGCTTGTATAAAAAGGTGCCCCGAAACAGGACTGCTTACCATCTTCCCAGCACAAGAGCACTTTCTACAGGAGTGACCAGCACAGGGAAGATTAAAATTTCTAAGCACGCAGCCCGAAACAAAGTGTGCAACTCTTAAACTGCTTAAGACAGCTCCCTAAGGACACTGAGATGCTCAGTTCTTGGCCTGTGATGACCAGATTTTTAACTTTTTACCCCAATGCCATGGCACGGTAGTCCAGGATGCCCCGCTTTCACAAGTATATGGCAACCATGATGCTCTTGCACAATGGCAAGGCATGGATAGGAATCACCCGTCAACTTTGGGACAGTGAAAGGCTGCCACCTATTTAGGATGTTTGGCTGTTATGGGACATCAAGGATGTCAAGAGTCTCATAGCTGAGCTGTGTCATGCTGTGGAAAGAGGCCAAGGCTTGGCAATGTCCAACGAAGGGAAAAATGTGGTGGAGATCTTCCAAAGTTTTAGCAGAGAGCTTCCAAGGCGGAGAATGACCAGCCATCAGGTGATTGCCCAGACTGCAGCAGAGCCCTGGCTCTGAGCTGGGCAGCGGGAGGGGAGAAGAAAGGACATGAAGAACGAGGGTCCAAAATAGGTAGCAAAATTCCACTGAAGTCAGTATTTACTAATCTCTGTACAGTTGCCATTTGTGGTTCATAATTTGTTTATATGTGGATATAGAGAGAGATGACAGTAGGGGAAAGTGGAGGATTCAGCGGAGGCTTGCCAGAGCCTTGTTGGAAGGGGGCAAACGTTGTCTGGACTGTGCAGCATCACAGTGAATGGACCTGTCCTTGACGTTGGCCTTGCTTTGAGCAGGGGTTTGGACCACAGGATTGCCAAAAAGTCTCTTCT